CATACATACACTTTGGGGATGTACACTTTGGGGATGTTAGTCTAGAGACTAAGGTGCCTGATCCAGGACATGTTGTTATTGTTGTGTACCATCAAGTTGCTTCCAACTCATAGCAACCCTATGTACCACAGCCCTGAAACCTGCTCTATCATGTGCTAACTTTATTGTCTCTCACACAACCTACCCTAATTACCCTAGTCACTGTATCAATTCATCTCATTGATGGTCTCTCCTTGTCCATCCCTCCATCCTTCCAACCATGATGTCCCTCTCCAAGGACCGACTGATCCCTCCTTGCAACATGTCCGAAGTATGTCGCACAGAGCCTCAGAATCCTTGCCTCCAAGGAGCAGGCTGGTTTCACCCTCTCGAGGACGAACCTGTTCTCCAAAAAGTTCATAGTATGTTCAAAACTCTTCTCCGGCACCACAACTCAAAGACATAAATTATCTTTCTATGATCCCTAGTCATTGTCTAGCTTTCTGATGCATAGAAAGCAATTGAAAAGATCATGGCCTGGATCAGGCTCAAGTTAGTCTCCAGACTGATGTCATTGTTGTTCTGGAGTGGGCTCTGACAACAGGCTTTCCCAGTGCAATTCATCTTTTGATTTCCTGGCTGCTGGTACAAAGAGTGTTGGTTGTGAAGCCAAGCAAACTAAAGCTGTTAACAATCTCAATCGCATCACCATCTATCATAATGCTGCCAATCAGAAAAGTGGTGAGAATCTTTGTTTTCTTAATGTTGAGCTTCAATCCATACTGAAGGCTCCAGTCCTTCACCTTCTGCAGCAAGCACTTTAGATCCTCCTCAGTTTCAGCAAGCAGGGTGTGTCATCTGCATAACTCAGGTTGCTGATAAATTGGCTGACACAGAAGAATTTCATGAAACAACATATGAACAAGAACCTGTGGTAATGAAGGAAGAAGTGGATCACAATAAGCTGTGGCTGACTCTGAAAAGAATGGAAATGCTAGAATATTTGATTGTGCTTATGAGACACCTATACTTGAATCAGGAGGCATTCATCAGAACAGAGTTAAGGAGACACTGCATGGTTCAAGATTGGGAAGAGCGTTTGTCAGGGATGTATTCTGTCTCTATACCTTTTCAATCTACAGCAGAAAAGGTCATCTGGGAGGCTGGGCTGTATGAGGAGGAATATGCAATGCAGAATATTGTTGTTATATGCCATCGAGTTGTCTAAAACTCATAGCGACTCTATGTACAACAGCCATAAACCCTGCTCTATCTTGTGCCAATCTTATTGACTCTGGTACACCTACCACTATTACCCCAGTCACTGAATCAATCCATCTACTCAAGGGAAAGAAGGGTCTTCTGCGCTGTCCCTCCACCCTCCCAAGCGTGATGTCCCTCTCCAAGGACTGGTTCTGCCCTGTAAAATGTCCAAAGTATGTCAGATGAAGCTTCAGAATCCTTGCCTCCATGTTGTTGTTGTTATGTGCCATTGAGTCACTTGCGAATCATAGCGACCCTATGTACAACAGCCCTAAACCCTGCTCTGTCCTGTGCCAATCTCACTGTCTCCGACACACTCACCCCAATTACCGCAGTCACTGAGTCAATCCACCTCATAGACGGCCTTCCTCTCCTGCGCTGTCCCTCCACCCTCCCAAGCATGATGTCCTTCTTCAAGGACCAGTCCCTCCTTACAACATGTCCAAAGTATATCAGATGAAGCCTCATAATGCTTGCCTCCAAGGAGCCTCCAGGTTTAACCCTCTCCAAGATGAATCTGTTTGTTTTCCTAGCAGTCCATGGTACATTCAATACTCTTCTCCAGGACCACAGCTCAAAGGCATTGATTCTCTTACTATGCTCCCTAGTCATTGTCCATCTCTCTGATGCATAACAACTGATTGTGAAGACCATGGCATGTATCAGGAGCACCTAAGTCTCCAGAGTGGCACCATTGCTCTTCAGTACCCTGGAGAGGTCCCAAAAGCAGACTGTCCCATCACAATATGTTTTTTAATTTCCTGGCTGCTGGTGCCAAGTGTGTTGACTGTGGAGCCAAGCAAACTAAAGCTGTGAACAATCTCAATCTCTTCACCATCCATCCTGATGCTGCCCATTGGTCCAATGGTGAGAATCTTTGTCTTCTTGATATTGAGCCTCAATCTCTATTGAAGGCTGCAGTCCTTGACCCTCTGCAGTAAGCGCATCAGGTCCTGCTCAGTTTCAGCAAGCAGGGTTGTGTCATCTGCACAACACAGGTTGCTGATAGATCTTTCACCAATCCTGATGCCACACTTCTCATAGAGCCCGGCTTCTCAGATAATCTTTTTTGCATATAGGTTGAAAAGGCATGGAGATAGGACACATCCCTGATATACATCCTTCCTGATTTTGAACCATGCAGTGTTTTCCTGCTCTGTTCTGACTACTGCCTCCTGGTCCAAGTATAGGTTTCTCATTAGCACGATCAAGTGTTCTGGTATTCCCATTCTTCTCAGAGTCAGTCACAGTTTGTTATGATCCACACAGTCAAACACATTTGCATAATCAATGAAACACAGATAGAGATTCCTCTGGAATCTCTGGAATAGCTGTTTTCAGCTAAGATTTGTCTAACATTAGCTACAATATTCCTAGTACCATGGCCCCTTCTAAACCCAACTTGGACTTCTGGAAGTTCTCTGTTTCTGTGCTGTTCAGACTTTTTTTGATAATCTATAACAGAATCTTGCTTGCATGTGAAATCAATGATATAATTTCCACATTCTTTTTCATCACCCTTCTTTCTTTGTAATTATTTCCTATGTATCAGATAACTCGACAATGATCAACGATGACAGAAGAATTGATACCTTTGAGTCATGGCGCTGGACAAGAGTACTGAATGCACAGGTCTTGGAGAGGGTGAAATCAAGTTGCTCATTGGAGGCAAGATTTTGAGGCTCCATATTTGGACATATTGCCAGGAGGGACTAGTCCTTGGAGAAGGTTATCATGCTAGGAAGGAAGAGTGGAGGGAGAGCATAGGAGAAGAAGACCCTAGATGAGATGGATTGACAGTGAGACTGGCTCAGGATAGAGCAAGATTCAAACTATTGTACATAGGGTTACTATGAGTTATAGTCAAGTTAAGGGCACATAACAACAACAA